GAAATCTTCTTTGTTGTAGAGTATATTTCGGATCGGGAACCCTTGGCTAGCGAAGATGATGACCGATGACAAGGTAAGTATACCCGGTATTTACGAGTTCTGTTTTTCTTGAAAAACACAGCTGTTTATAATATCAAAAAGCCTTGACTTTTGAAAGAAAACTATATTATGTACATATATACATGTCAATCACTATTCGTTGTATACACCTCTTTATAAATCATTTCAGGTCAAAGAGAGACAACTCTTTAGACGTGTATAGAAGTAAATGGAAAATTAACTTAGGTTTTATAAAGAATGCACGGTTGTCTTGGAATTCTTGTTCATTTCCTTATCCAAAAATTATCAAATTGCAGTCATTTTATCGATGTATTTATTTAAATCATCTATAAAAAAAATAAGAAGATTACAGCTAAATACTATCCATATCAAAATTAAATAAGAATGACATTGATTTGTATATCAAATTTAACAGCAGACTAGACTTCGATATCGATAGCATGTTCTATCTGTTATGTAACCATCTAAAGAGATAAAACTTTTATTTGATTATTTACATGTACTCATATCTAATCAATATATTGCAAAAGCATTATTATCTACACTGTAAGAAATGTAGAGTCCACACACTATACGAGGATACTTTGTTGTCACTTCTTTATTTATATTAAATTCTTGAACATGTAAACTTTCTAATCAAGTAAGAGAAAGTTTATGATCTAAACACTTGTGAGCTTAGAAATTTAACATATTTAAACACATTAAAAACAAGTGTTTAAATTCAAAACACATAACAATATATTTGTTTAATATCTCAACAAATCATAAGTCTCATTTGCACCAGCAGAATTTTTTTTAATAGAAATTGGAAATTTAGGCACAAACAGCAGACTTTTTATCAGTGCACGTAATTGTCAAGATTTGCAAAATTTGTAATTAATATAAATTTCGTTTAATATAACATCTGAATGTTGAGATAAGCACTAGATAATTACAGACAATGGTCACTGAGTGATGAACTTAATTTACACCAATAAAGTAGGAGTTGAAAATTTAAATAATTTTATTTGGTTTCAATAAGTTTAATCAACAGTTCATATCTTTATAACGCAGTAATAAGTAATCTTCAAAATTTTACTTAAGAATTATGATAATGATGATAATAAACCAATTCATATCAAAACTTCACTGAATATTTTATAGGTTTTATGAAGATTAAAGATTAAAGAATTTTAATTAGAACTTGAGGTACTGTCAGGTATGAGCTCACTAAATGGCACCCACGCCTTCCATATGAATATAATGACATTGTCCATGTTTTGTTATGGGAAACCCAAAATATGTGTCGGATCAAAAAGTAAAATAGGAGGTTCACAATGGCAATAGGTAATAAAGATACTGTGAAAGTTTCATCCAATTTCAATCAGTGGTATGAGAGGAGTTGCGGATAAGAGATGGGTACCCCAAAGCGTAAGAGACGGATGTTCAGACAGTTAGACGGACGGACGGACATAACGATTACTATATACCCTCCCGCTTTTCAAGCGGGGGTATAAATACATTTTTGGTCATATATAATTATGATAAATTACAATTTAAATCGACTGCAAGGTTTTCTTCATGTCAGTCACAAAAAAAATCAAATATCACTAACTTTCAGTTCTTTAGCACCCCACGGCACCACATAGTATACATAGCATAACATCCCACCAATTACTGCCACAATCAATTCAAAATGCATAGGGATACTTTTAGGGTACTTGTTTTAAAAACTGCAATCAATCATTTATTTGAATCTCATCAACATTTTACAATAGCGTACAGAGACTACAAAAAACATATAGGTGATTTTATATACAACAATAGGTCTAGAAAGGCATGCGTGAGTAAGAAACTTAACAAAAACAAAAAAATTGTAGGTTACTATAAATGTGAAGGATGGGAATTTAGGCCGGGGAGCATATTTTATTTATTTTCTTTACAAAGGAGCACAATTTTCTTAGAAAGCAGTGTTTATTGTTGTTCATAATGTTTTTAAAACTAATTATATTCTGGAATTTTATGTGTTTTTCTGTTAAGCAAAGTTTTCTTTCTGTTTGTAGCGAGTTGCACTTTAAAATGTAATGAAACTCATCTCCGAGTTCTTTTAGATTACAATGGGGACAAATTCTATCTTGTCTTGGTATATTAAGCCAGCGTCCACTTTCAATTGGTAAATGATGATTACACGTTCGAAATCTACAAAATGTTATTAAGTCCTTTTTTGATAAAATATTAAAATAGTTTTCAAATTTTAGTTCGTCTTTGTATATTCTATAATTTAAAGCTTTGGGTGAGGTTTGAAGGATTGATTGCCAACTTTGTTTGAATTGATCCAATAATGTGAGTTTAACTTTCGCCTTTAACCATTTAATATTAATTGGGTTTTGTTCAAGCCATACATTTGAGAGTCCACAGTTATTTAAGATATTTCTAATATTTTCAAGCCAAACAATTTTCCCTCCTATTTCTTGATTTATAATGAAGCCTAATTTATAACATAAATTTGCAATTTTAATTTCCTTTCCAGTGATTAATTTTGACCAATAAGATATCATGCGCGTTTTTATTTGGATTTCCATGGGGTGTCGGCCAAGTTTGCCATATATCATAAAATCTGGGGTTGAATCTTTTAAATGGAGTAGAAGTTTACAAAATTTTAGGTGAACCCTTTCTATTATTGCATTATTTGAAAATCCCCAAACTTCACATCCATATAACAAAATAGGTTGCACAATTTTATCAAATAGATCTAGCTGACACTGTATTGATAGGTTATGTAATCTTCCTTTTTTTAATACTTCGTATAGTGCTTTTGTTGCCTTTTCAGCTATTTTCTTTTTTGCCGTTTTAAATGAGCCAGATTTACATAATATAACTCCCAAATAGTTAAATTCTGTTACTACATCTATTTTCTTATCATCATACTGCATCTGTATATTTTCTTCACGTCTACTTTTACTGAATATTAATATTTTTGATTTGTCGATATTTATCTTTAAATTCCATTTTTTACAATATTTACAGAAGCTATCTAGTTGTTTTCGTAGCTCTTCAGAAGATTCTGCAACCAATACAGTGTCATCTGCGTATAAGATTGCAAATAATTTAAAAAATATATTTAGTTTGTTTTCAAACATCTCTGATATAGTTGATAAACCTTCAATATTGGATGCATTCAGGAAATCGTGTAAATCGTTAAGATACATAGAAAATAAAAACGATGACATATTTTCACCCTGTCTAACACCATTTGCACATTGAAAAAAATCTGACTGTTCTTGATTATAGACAATTCTGGATTTTATCTGACTGTACATATTCAAAATAATGTCATACATTTTGCCGTTAATATTGTAAGATAAAAGTTTAAACCACAATGCTTTCCTCCATACGTTATCAAAAGCTTTCTCAAAATCTACAAACAAACAAAATAGTTTTTTCTTTTTTGTTTTAAGAAGCTCAAATAAAATATGTATTGAGAATAAATTATCAATTGTTGAATAACCTTTTCTAAAACCTGTTTGATTTTCATGTATTACTTTAAACTCATCAGAAAACTGCTGAACATGGTCAAATTAACCCCCTTCCCCGCAGTCACGCATTTTAACGCATATACCATTTTCTATAAGTATATTTCTAACGCAAAATCACACATATACCGTTTCCCCGCAATCATACATTTTCATGCACTTAAAAAAAAATCATTTAATCTTCAATTAAATGCCAATTTCCTTCTATTTTATACTTGCTACAATCTCATAAAATAAGAAAAGTCTCTGAATTCTCAAAGTAATGTGTTTTTATCCACAATAATTATTCAAACTTCATCTTAAAAGTTAATCATAATATATATCTCAATAACCTTCATTTCATGCTTGATTTTGAGACCTTTTAAATTAAATTATAAATTAAACTAGAGGTACTGTGAGCAATGAGCTCACTAAATGATACCCCCCGCCTCCCATAATGTCTATGTGTTGCTATATTGTTTTACGGTAATGTGTAAACTCGTCCTATCAAATGTTATCCAGAAGCTTCTATATATGACGTCATAGGTAAACATATAATGGCAATGTCCATGTTTTGCTATGGGAAACTTAAAATACGTGTCGAATAAAAAAGTAAAATAGAAGGTGCACAATAGCACTATGTATTAAAGATTCTATGAAAGTTTCATTAAATTTCACTCAGTAGTATAAGAGGAGTTGCGGATAAGAGATAAAGCGTACTAGACGGACGGACGGACGTACAGACGAACGGAAATACCGATTACTATATACCCTCCCACTTTTCAAGCGGGGGGTATAATTATCCATCCTGGCTGTGGATCGGAATACCTTAATAATCGTTTATTTCAAGATAACAGAGATAATCTTTTCGAAATAATGTTGGTTTTCCAAAAGTGTGTTTGCTATACTTGCGATATTTAAATAAAGAGTATTTAGTATCACTGCAATGAACTTTTGAATATGAAATTATTGTAAGCAAGATAATTTAAGAACTATTGTGCATGTTAGTTATGAACTTCATGTAAATGTTAAAAGAGGAAGCAATCCAATGGAATTTCAAATTTATCTTTTCCTTATCCTTTGTATTTATTACCCTAGTGGACTGTCATACCTTATATTTCTTCCTCTTTCCGTATTGATGTAAGTATGATGATTTTTTTTCGCAAAAAAATGTATTTCCAATATATTTGTTTTGTATTCATTGTATTTTTAAATTGACGTTATTTTCGTTTTAATTTCTTGGATTAAAAGACACGTATTAATACTAGAGTGGATACTTATAACACGTTTCCATATGTGTAGGAATCTTTCATTTTTTTTAAATTTTGAGCATAAAGCTCTGCTCAGTGGGAATATTTTACGCCATAGTTTAGTTTACATACAAAAATATTTCTTATTTTAATGCATGTACGATTGCTCTGCCACTTGACACACATTGATTATCTTAATACGGCATGTTTATTCTAGTTCGGTCTACTTAAGCATCACCGGTCAGTAGCCCTTCGCCTAATCTTTTCTAGAGAGGGGGAGGAATCAATATCATAAGGCCGCCATAATTGTGCTAGTGTTGAAGACACATTTTTCCAGGAAAAAGAAACCCAATTTCTAAAAGCAACATTTCAAGGTACGTGAACAATACACCAGGTAAATTTTTTTCTAGTCTGCATAACAAACACAACAGGATATTAAAAAAAAACTTTAAAGGTGTGCAGTGTGCAGTGTCATCTTACGGTGACAGATTTTGGTTTGATTTGGTTTTCTGTTATGCAAAATAACAGTACAGCTTTGCTACACTGCGATTTTCATTCTGAATATACATAATATTTACAACTGCGCACTAGCTCATAACGCTGACTTTATAGTTGATTTTCTACAGTTTATAAGGTAAGGACCAGCAAAATATCTATATTTTTTATCTTTATAAGATCCAATCATGGCGCAATAATTGAACTTATATCTACAGTACGTGTTTTTGATTGCAATATTTTTTAATGACCCTTTTCCCCCTCAACTCAAATAAGAATTAAAAGTAATTTAAGTTAGTATCAATTCTGACTGTTTAAATTTCAGAATGGCAGTTTGGGTTACAACAACTGGATCAAACATACCAGAGGGGGCAGTAAGGGGTGGATATGAAGCGGATGGGAATCCTCTTTTTGTTGCCCGGGCACGAATTGAAGGCATCATGACGCCTGGAAAATGTGGATACCACATTCCTGGAGCTCATATTCCATATGGCATGAAGGAACAAATCATCAATCAGTATGAGGTGTTGGTTCATCCCTCCAGAAGTCCTGGCTTTTTAGATTGGCAGAGGGCTTCTCATGGCAACGTGCCACCAAATGCCTACAGGACCGACAATGATACTTATGTCGGGAGAGCTTACTACCAGGGGAGTTTAGTCCCGGGGAAAATTGCCACTTCTCACCCTCACAAGTGTGCTTACATAGGCTATGGAGGGAACGAAATCAGCATCAAGGATTATGAGGTCCTGTGTCAGATCAAATAAAACCTGAACAGAATTTGAAATGCTCCATTAATTGACGGTGGCTACAATGAATAATAAGGTCATATGCAAAGAAAAGTTATCTTTTATATAATACCGACATATATTAATAGCTATGTATACTTTCATTATGTGTTCTATTTTCTAATCTTACAAAATAAAAAGATAAATATTATCTACAGATTGTATCATTGCTTATCGCTAAGTAGAATCTGTTAAATATACTTAGACTGAACCAGGGGCTCGATTTACAAAACTACCTTATGACGAAGAACTAGGAGACATGTGGTTATGGCTCCAAAAGAAATTATTCGAGACAAACTGTTATATAATATATATATTTTCGTGCAATTGTTTTACATGTATTTTCAATATTCTTTGTAAAACATGGAGCATGCATTAAGTACAGTAAAACCATGCTTGTTGATAAAGTTGTGAATAGCAATTGCTCTACTTGCATGTTTTCAACAACATATTATACACGCAGGAAATTAAAAGACTTTCTCTCTTAGCCATCATATATCTCTTTAACAAATACAGGACTGAAAAATGAAACACCTTCAGTTGTGTTCATAACTTTGAGAACTCTTTAAGTTTGAAATTACTATCTTCGCTTTAAAAGCACGTTGCAGGACTGGTCTACCACTAGTGTATCAAGCTCGAAGTTGAATGAACTAATCATCACTATGTGAAATGAAGGCACAGTATTTTTAGCATACCATTAAACACTCAGATTATCAAGCATCCATAGACATCCTTTTCTCTTTAAAAAGAGAAATAGAATTTGTATATGTCTATATTGCTCTATCCAACGAATAGAGATGCATATTCACCAGGCTTGTCGAGAAAATATACACCAACTCAACGGGAAATAGATAAAAAAAAAAATAGATAAAGGAAATATTAAATCAGACAATTATAAAACTTAGATGTTCTTTTATCTCATGAGATTTTTCTTTTTAGGAAATATAACTAAAAAGAACTGAAAAGAACTATGAATGATTTCTATTAAAATTCACGAGGCATATCTTGATGAAGTTTGGCTGTTAACGTTGTCATGCCGTAAAAAGTTAAATCATGTTCAAAATATGAATTATTTTAAAACATTTGTGACAATTTCTTGCAGATTTATTTTATTCGAACTTTTTATTGAAAGTTGTAAGGACTCGGGGATCTTGGATTCAACTCTGATGCTGAAGGCGTTTTCTGTACTGTGATAGTGCTTACTTGTACTAGACGAAATGTAGCTAGCCCTACATTTTCACCCATGGTAAATTGTACTGTTATAATGTAAAAAAGCGTTGTTGAAAGTTGGTCTGCAACAACCGTCAAAAGAATCTTGCATCATCAACAAAACTGCTAGGCCTAAAGTTTCTCATGAAAACTATTTAATCATTCACTTTTTAAGGCAAAAAACAAGTGCTGTTGATAATCTCGAGCTCTTACCCGCCCATAAATAATGGATAGGGTTATTTCGTGGGTAGTATCCTCCACATGTATGAGATAAACAATTAAAAATATTTGAATACTGTTTGTTATTTCCATATTTTTCATGATGTTAAAACTTCGTAATGCAAACATTTACACACAGTTGTAAATTTTAAACAACGAAAATATGACTCCCCATTTGATAGTGTAATATACATTATTGTCCTTCTTTGTGCAAAAACCAGAAGTCTCTGTCGAGACTGAAGCTCTACTGGTTTGCGCTTATAGAAAAGGAAGAGAAAAGTACTTAGGCAGTTGGAAATTGAAACTTTTCAACAGCAATAAATAGAATAATGATTCTTGATTAAGTCTCTTTATGTTCTTAGTGTAGTCTACTTGCATGCCACATTATATTATAATTAGACTAAAACTGTATTTGGAGTAGCATTTTGAGAGTATTTAACAGAAATTTCTATTTTTAGTAACCATGGCAACACCATTCATTGAAGTGAAAAAATGACATACAGAATTATGTACCTTAGTGTAGTCTACTTGTGTGCCAAGTTATATTGAAATCAGACCAAAACTGTAGTAGGTGTAGCATTTTGAAAGCATTTCACAGAAATTTCTATTCTTAGTAACAACAGCAACACCGTTCATCGAAATCAAAAACCGATACACAGAATTATGTATCTTAGTGTAGTCTACTTGTGTGCCAAGTAATATTGAAATCAGACCAAAACTGTAGGAGCAGTAGCATTTTGAAAGAATTTGACAGAAATTTCTATTTTTAGTAACCACGGCAACACCGTTTATCGAAATCAAAACCGATACACAGAATTATGTATCTTAGTGTAGTCTACTTGTGTGCCAAGTTATATTGAAATAAGACCAAAACTGTAGTAGGTGTAGCATTTTGAAAGCATTTCAAAGAAATTTCTATTCTTAGTAACAACAGCAACACCGTTCATCGAAATCAAAAACCGATACACAGAATTATGTATCTTAGTGTAGTCTACTTGTGTGCCAAGTTATATTGAAATCAGACCAAAACTGTAGGAGCAGCAGCATTTTGAAAGAATTTGACAGAAATTTCTATTTTTAGTAACCACGGCAACACCGTTTATCGAAATCAAAAACCGATACACAGAATTATGTATTTTAGTGTAGTCTACTTGTGTGCCAAGTTATATTGAAATCAGACCAAAACTGTAGGAGGAGTAGCATTTGGAAAGAATTTGACAGAAATTTCTATTTTTAGTAACCACGGCAACACCGTTCATCGAAATCAAAAACCGATACACAGAATTATGTATCTTATTGTAGTCTACTTGTGTGCCAAGTTATATTGGAATCAGACCAAAACTGTAGGAGGAGTAGCATTTTGAAAAATTGTTTACAGACAGACAGACAGTGACGGACAAAAAAAATTAAAAATTAAACTAATAAAAAATAAAAGTAATCGAGTGTAGCAAAATCTCTAACGGAGCTGAATTTATTTACAACTTCTACACAGGCAACTTAGCCACATATGATTCTCATATGATTGTATATACATATGATTCTCATATGATCCACATATGATCCTCATATGAAAGGCAATGCATATGTAGATCATATGTGGCTAAATTGCCTATGTAAATAAATGAATCCCGTATGCAATTGATAAAGGGCTCTTGGTATGGTCATAACCTTGACATTAAGATAAATCTGCGACATTTTGTCAATAAACAATAGTAATTGTTATTTCAGTGTTCATTGATATATCTTCGTGTATTCGAAATAAAAGACTCCATAGAAATATACAAAAACAGGTCTGTTATTCTAAATCACATAGAATAGTGTTCCTTTGAATTTCAACAGATTTTTGGAAGACCTGGTCTCCAAAGGTTAAATAGATATATGTAATGAACATAACCAACTTTTTAATGGAAAATATTTGGAGATATAACAGAAAAATCCGTCGACTATTCTAAGCGTTAAAATAATGGTCTAACATTAAGTACGAAAAAGCCAAACAGCATTTGACTTTATGATATAAGTACATTGTATTTGCCGACAAGGCCATTACATCGACTCCTCCCGTTTAAGAAATTGTTCATACGTAGAGCATTCTCTTGCATAAAGATCTTTCGTACGAGACTGTATAAATCGAGACTCCGTAGGTGCTGGCAAGAAAAGATTCCTCCCTGCCCAACGGCCGAAAGTGCAGATAACAGGACAAAATTTGCAGCTCTCCGCCGGCAAGTGGTAATGTCTCCATATGACTGAAAAAAAAATCAAGTGGTGATGTCTCCATATGATTGAAAAAAGAAACCGCTGACGGGGTGGTGTTAACAACATACAAATACTGTATGCGTACTTTAAAAAGCAGGCTACATATTTTAATGGCTTTGGCGCAGACAACAATGAGCTATCCATGAATACCGCTAAGAAATCATTTCTGTATACAATACACTGAACGTACAAGTGAAGCGCTAATGTAGCGCTAATTTATGATAGCGCCAACAACTCCATACCAAGTAAATGCGCGGAATTTTAAATATGCCAAATTATGTACACGCACATACACGCAAAAACGAGTTGAATTATTGACAAACAAGTTGCTGAAACAAGAATATCAGCATCTTCGTTTAAAGCCATTATTTGGTAAGTTCTAGGGTCGATAAAACGACCCTGTCAGCAAGTACAATTCAGAATTAAATCAAATGCTGATTGATATTTTTTCATCCTAATTTTTAGGTTATTATATACACACAGCATTGTCGACTGATTTTTCCGTTATTACACCCCATCATGACAAGGAGTACACAGCGGGTGTGACCGGTCGGCAGGGGATGCTCCCTTCTTCATGGCACCTGATCCCACCTGTGATGTTTTGGAGGTCCGTGTTTGCTCTGTTCCTATTTTGTATTGTTTAATGGACTTTGAGCTTGAATCCTTCTCGATATCTCCATACATTTCATTAATAAAGAAAAGAATTTACTGGGTACTGTATGCTTATTTCTTCAGGAGAATTATATGAAGTTTAAGTTACTTCTTACAGTATCTTAATTGAGCACTCCCTTAAACTTTAAAATTCATGGTGCTTCTAATTGAAAAATTTTGATAATTTCTGCGGTGCACTATCTTTATTCCATAACAGCTCTAAAGATGAAAAATATTTGACCATATTTTGGGGCACAAATTATGCCCGCTCTACATTTTTAATGAAATGTTTGTTAAACTCTGGTCACTGTGAAACAATCTTTCCTACAGAAAACCTATTTTGATTTTTTTTTCTACGAGAAAGAGCTTTATAAAGTTGAAGACACACTTGCGAACAAGTTAAAATTTAGCAACGAAGACAAAAAAATCACTTCAGATGAATTTGTTAACATTTTAAAAATTAAAAATTAGAAATATACATACTATTCTTTTTATTTCACTTTGATTCAACAGAAAAGGAAAAGAGTCCAAGAAAATAGAGTTATCAAAATATATCTACTAATGATTATTTTAATATATAAAATATAGATTTGAATGTATCTGATTCTTTCCACGTCGATTTCATTCGAAATGCTTTGTACACAGGGCCTCATAATCCTTGTAACTGAATTCAGCTCCACAATAGCTAATGTATGCACAGTTATCAAAATATATACCAACATAAAATCCAAGGCGTTTGGTGGATTAGCCTTCTTTTCAAATATATAAAATATATAATTTTTGAGATTTCACAAATGTGATTTTTTTAACGAGTTTTGATAATTTTTTTTATTAACAAACTAAAAACAAAACTGTGAATAATATAAATTTGCATTTTTCATTTAATTTGAAGTAGAAATTTCAATAATTGCTAAGTCTAGAAACCTTTTTGAATTTCGAAGCTCCACAATAGCTAATGTATGCACACTTGTAATAATACGCATGCAGGAGATTTTCTAGTGTGTTTTACAATTAATATTTTGAGTTTACATTTAGTAAATGCTTCATTAATTTGATTTAGTAAAAAGTTCTTATCACTTTCTTCAGTTTGATACAAAGTATTTATATTTTGATCAAAACAATTTCTGCACTCTTTCATATAGCGTAGATTTAATTCATGTGTTATCACCACGGCTTCCTTTTTGAGGGGCCGTAAACAAGCCTTCTGCCAATCTAAAAAACCAGGTTTTCTCAAGGGCAAAACCAACACCTCGTACTGATTGATGATTTCTTCTTTCCTTCCATATGGGATATGGGCTCCAGGAAGGTGAAAACCGCATTTTCCAGACGTCATGATACCATGAATCTTTGCTCGGGCAATAAAAAGTGGTCGCCCATCTGTCTCGTACCCTGCTCTTATTGCATCCTCTGGAATTTTTGAACCGGTAGTTGCTACCCAAACTGCCATTCTGTAAAACAAATATTTCTGATATCATACTATGTGTGTGTGTGTTTTTCTCAAAAAGGGAGCAATAACCAATCATCTTTAAATGCAAAAATAAAAACACGGCCAATACTCCTTCAAATTAATATGCAAGATTCCCTTATCATATAAAACAGATTCGATTTAAATCAATCGTAATTGTCCTTGTGATATGATGAAGCAACAACGAATGATTATAGAAAAGCACACATTTCTGTAAAAAAAAGACTTAGCATAACATACAGGAACTATTGTCGCAGTACTAATAAACGAAGAAAGACTTTTATTGTTTTATTTATATCTGTACTAATAATCAATTAATGTAGGATTTAGTGATATACATGTATACGTCATTGTATATTTCATGTGAAGGTGTGTGCATGTTTGCGTCCTTTTAGTATTAAAATGATTTCAAGTTCATTAAAACAATCACCAATTCAAATCAGTTTTATGAAAATTTATACATTTTTAATCAAAATCATTGTGATTCAAAAATGTAAAAATAAATCCTATTAATTCAGATATGGTGCTGCCATATATTTTACTAATGAAACAACTACAGCGCTTTTCCTGTATATATATATTTTTCCACTTGACAACTTTTGGCAATCAGATAGAAGTATTTAATTAAAATACTTCTGTTTTTAATTTCATGTTCACATACCTTGATACAGGTAAACGTCGGTATCTCGACATCGGATATGTCGACAACCTGGGATATGTCGACGTTCGTCCGCGGTCCCGGCATTATTTACTATATAAATGATTTGCAAAAACTCTGATACATCGACCTCGGTAATGTCGACTACCCCGCTTATCTCGACGTATTTCACAGCCCCAAGAGCAAAATTTACCTGGTATATGTCGACATCGGGGCAATTTTCTGCTCTACTTAACCTAATTGCTTGTCTGCTGGTCGCTCGTCACGCACGGACAACTCCGTGTACCTCGACATCGTCAGAAATTCACACTTTTCACACCAATGTTTAACTACATACTGCTTTGTAGAAATGTGTTTGTAAAGGAATCCCAAGCCCCCTAGGCGTCTCTGAGACGTTAATTGTTAAATGTTCAGCTTGGGTAATATCATATCATTGATAAATCTTCTCGATTCTGCGTAAATGTAACACCGTTTATTTATGTAAAAATCTAACAAAATTTAAACATTTTGAAAAAAAGAAAGTTACTGTATAACAATGAACAATTAACACATTGAATTCAATTTAACTTAAAAATTGTAGTAAAAACGCATTCAACTGGAAACAATCAAATCTACGACATGCGCTACTATTGCATCAGCCGTATTATGAATGCATGTGTAACATAATTAAGTTTGTTAAATTCGCAATTCCATATTAAATTTTGGTTTAAAAATAAAATGAAAAATAATGATGAATAGTTATGAAATAAAAATGAAGTGAAATGAACAAATTAACAAATATATACGCATTATTTCTTCCGTATCACGGATGTCGACTTTGTACCATTCCGGTTTGGAGTTTATAGAGCGCATTTTGTATCCTATTCTGATAGAGCTAGTTGCACGCGGATCGAATGCTGGATGGAAAATTGTTTTAGTAAAATGACAAGATTTCGGTAAAAAAGAATTCAAAGCATTTCATGTATTATATTGTGAATAACTTCATAGATTTTCTAATAAATATAGAGTGATGGCTACAACAAACAGCAACAGTCCATTGAAGACATGTAGGTAGTTACACGTCTGTTCAGTTGAGGTCTATGGTTTACTAAGCAGTAAAGTTAAGGACGTCGAGTCTCTGATATCTCGACACCTCGGATATCTCGACATTTTCTGATTGTCCCGTCGATGTCGAGATAACGAAGTTTACCTGTATATTGTTGTTCATGGATCTCAGACTTGCTCTTTCTGGTATTTATGCAGCCAAGACTACGAATCTCATGCGCTCTCTTGTATTTATATTCCTTCCCTCTAAATGTAGGCTGTTACGAAGAAGACGACTGACCATTGGTGTTTTAGTAAATATAACAGGATTAAACATGCTGAGAGAAATAAATACTGTAATAAACCATTTTGGATTTTCCTAAAAAGTTTATTAACAGATTTGAAAAGAAATATATTTTTTAAAAATTCCCTTCAAGAGAAAATGACGTCAATTTTGTTTTAACTTTACACTGAATTATAGACTCCATCTTTCTTTGACAGATGTGCTTAAACTATTAAGAAATGTAAACAAAAAATGAATATTTGTTATCTTGATTAAGTAATGTTGTTTGTTATTTTTTTGGTTGCCAATATGATCCATCAACATCAAGTTAAAAAACTTATGTAAAATTAGCTTTCTAATTGCAAATTTCAAAGCGACGATTTTTTTCCGAACAAGATAAGATTTTGTTTGTCAATTAGAAAACTTTGTATATTCTCTTTCTCAAATATTTAATTTCAGATTATTAATAATATTCCATACGGAAATTTAATATCAGAAAATAATTGCGAAAATAAGATTGTCTTCACACTTTCTTCACACCTTCTATATGGGAAGAAGAGAACATTTGCTTTGGCCTTAAAGGTTTTGTCTTGATACTTAGATATGTCGACTTCGAATTATCAATTAACAATGGTTACTTCTATTTATATAATATATTTACACATATTTATATAGACAAAGTTCTATATTATATCAATTTTTAAAGCTAGGCACGTTATTAACAAATAAGTTTTGTCTGCAGTTATCATTTGGCAACTTCTTTGGTTGATAAATTGCTTTTATCAAAAAATAAAATCTGTCATCTGTTCAAATGTTGGTTGACTTTTTTATATTAATTATGAGACCATTTTTATACACTAAAACATATTTGGATGTTTTTTTATCCGATAAAGACAAACGACGGGTATGACCAATCGATCGAGGATGCTTACTTCTTTATGGTACTTGATCCCGCCTTTGATATCATTTTGTGTTTTTCTTTTCTCTGCATCCGGTTACTTTGATCAAATTAGCTTTGAGCTAGAATTATCTATTGTCGCTATAGGAATAAAATGAACAACAATGATATTTTTTTAATTAAATTTTTTTTAAAGTTCTTTCTCTAAAGTTAACAAATATGCTCACATTAAAATTATTCAATTTTTATATTTCCAGTATACATGTTTATAAATCCAAGTTGAAATTTCAAAATGGTGCTATATTCATATTTCACAATAATCATTTGTTTGTGATTCAATTACTTTAAAAGATAAACATGATTTTGACTCATAATGTAACTTTTATATGTATCACAAATCAAATTATTTTTCGGAGAGCAATAGAAGATCAAGGTTTAAAATAAGAACAGGAAATATTTTTTTTCTTTCTCCAGAACAGCGGGTTAAACGTTAGCATCCCAACATAATGCAAAATCAAAGGAGCTCATATCATAGGAGTCTTCACAAGCTATATTGTTTCACTTTTTTTTAATTTATGGACCAAACGCTTTGATAGTGGGTGAAATTGTAAAACAATTTAACATACTGCATTCATACAAAGTATAAGCTAAGAAACTCAGTAAAACCATTTATATCATGAACATCTATGGTGATGTGTGTGCGAATAACATTAAAGATCGAATTAAATCGCACAGATTTGTTTTTTCTCCTACAATAATTAAATCGTAATATACTTAAAAAACAAATTACGCACTAAGATAATTGTACGGATATGACAAAATTACAAAAAAAAATTGTGAATAACAACCAATTTAATTAAAGTTTTGAAATATTAGTTTACAAAAAAGATTTCAAAAAACAAAATGAATGAGTATATGCGTACACGCGTTTTAAAAAAGGAAGTCAGAACTGTAAATAGAAGAAAATTAAAACATTCATAGTATTTGAAAAAATGAAAAACTAAAAGAAAATAAAAACTTTGAGGATATAATTTTAAACATTTTTTTTTTAATTTTCAAACACTTTTGCGTATTTAAACTTTATTCTGGAAAAGTCATCTTACAGGTGTAAAAATATTTTTATTTTTATTTATTTATTTTTTATGTTGCTTTTTTTAAATTTAAGAATCAGTCCATTTTGGGTTATGGTGAAGAAAAATTACTGACATGTCCTTCCATTTGTGATCATTAACCCTTAAATATTGACTTTTCAAATATCTTGTAGTAACTTCTCATGGCCAAATTATCGCAAACACAAGAAGAATTTGGTGTATTGAAGGAAGAAACGTTGCAATAAAAGCCCATAGAATTTACGATAAACGTGAACAAAATGAATTTATCATTCATAGATGCCAATCTTGATTATAAGAAGAAATTGGTCCCAGTATTGTCTGTTTGAAATAGCTAAGCAATGGCGTTAGAGTTAAGAATTGAATAGGGATAAAGAAAATAAATGATATTATCAATAATCATCTATAAATTTACCCTTGCACAGGTTCCGGGTGTTTTATATATATATGCGTGTATTCTGTAAGAAATATTATTTTTTTTAATTAAGAATTTTAAGAATTTCAGTTTAATAACAGATCACATGTATTTTGTATTCCTATGAAGCAGGATTTGTCCAAAGTCTAATACTCGAAAAAAAGAAAACATTTGCCGTGGCCTTGAACAAGATAATTAGATAAATCGACGACGTATATTCAATTAACAATGAATATATTTTTTGAAATTTGTTTAAAAGATCACAAATATTAACTGTAAACCTTTACAACAATATATGACAAAATGTGAAAATTTGTCTATATATGTGAAAATTTTTCAAAAAATATAACCAAAATGAAATACTTTTATTGTTAATACTTTCTCTCAAGTTCTTAGGCTTTTTAAGAAAATATGTTTTTTCAATGAAAGGGAAAGAATTATCCTTTGGTCATTTTCAAAATTATTTTGTTAAACAGTCTGATTATGCACAAAAGTTGAAATTAAAAAATCCATAAGTTGACAATATCTCTGAAGTTTTTTGGCGACCAGGTATTTTAACAAATCTATTGGAACGATTATGGGTACTAATATCGCCC